TTCTCGACCCGTCTTGGGGCGTCGGAAAGCAGAAATGTGAGAACCCCGAATTCCTTTAAAAACTTGCGTAGTATCGACGATGTTCGCCCTTTGGGGCTCCCAGGAGGCCTCGTAGAGCGCTCTTGGGGCCGCTTGGGGTCCTCTTGGGCCGTCTTGGAATCATCTTCGGGCGCCTTGGGGAATTCTTGGCCTCGGCAATACGAGTATGGTTGAGTTTGCAATGATTTATGGCCACGTCGGCGCGAACATGGAATCATTTACAAGGGTTTGTTGCCTCGGGGACGCAATCATTTAGCAATTCGCAAGGGTTTGTGGCCTCGGGGGCGCGAGTATTGGGTAATTTACAGCGGGTTCTGGTTTCGGGGGCGCGACAACCGAGCAATTTGCGAGGGTTTGTGGTTTCTGGGGCGCGAGTATTGTATAATTTGCAACGGGTTCTGTCTCGAGGACGCGAGTAATGCGTATCTCAGAAGGCTTTGTTGCTTCGGGGACGCAGCGCTTCAGTCATATTTTCGGGTTTGTTGCCTCGGGGGGCGCGAGAATAGGGTAATTTGCGAGGGCTGATGGCCTCGGGGGCGCGAATATTGAACCATTGACAAGGGTTTTTTATTGCCTCGGGGGCGCAACAGTTGTATGCTTTGCAAGGGTTGCTGGCCCCGGGGACGCGTATGTTGTGTAATGTACAAGATATCGTTGCCTCGGGGGCGCAACTGTGGCGTAACTTGTTATGGCGACGGAGACGGCGGCGACGGGCGGCACCGCCCGCAGACGCCGCCACCCACCCCGAGATGGTTAAGCCAAGTAAGAGCCCCTACGTGCAAACACTGTTTGGGGAATATGTGTACAATTCTATGTGCTGCAATCTACGCGGTGCAACCTATGTATTGCAATCTATGCGGTGCAATCTATGTGGTGCAATTGGTTTTAACAAACGAGTTGACACATCCCGCGCTCTTGCAAACATCCCACCCACCCACCCGCACCTTGGTTTGCAAAACCCACGACGACGACCATGACGACGCCGACGACGACGACAACGACGACACCGACGACGACGACGACGTCAACGACGCCGACGACGACGACGACGACGACGACGGTGGCGGCGACGACGACGACGCCGACGTCGGCGACGACGACGACGACGCCGACGCCGACGACGACGAAGACGACGGCGACGTCGACAACGAAGACGACGACGAGGGAGGAGGGAGGACGGCGACGGCGACAACGACGACAACGATGACAACGACGAGGGAGGAGGGAGGACGGCGACGACGCGAACGACGAAGAAGGAGGAAGGACGGCGACGCCGACGACGACAACGACGAGGGAGGAGGTAAGACGACGACGACGACAACGACGAGGACGACGACGACGACGGCGACGAAATAGGAGGGACGACGACCAGACGCCGACGACGGACGACGACGACGACGAGGGAGGAGGAGGAAGGACGACCACGGCGACGACGACGGAAACGACCACGACGCCAAAGAGGACGACGACGACGAACACGAGGAAAGACAGAGGACGACGTAGGCGACGACGACGACGACGCGGGAGGAGGGAGGACGGCGACGACGACGACGACGACGCAAGAGCGCGCGCGCACGCTTTTGTTGAAAATCCGTGTTGCGAAACCTCAGGTTTTTGTAGGTTTTTCGGACACACGATTTTGAAATCCTTCCGAAACCGATGGGCTTTGAAGGTTTTCGGCGTACGCGCGCGGCGACGCGCGCGTCTGCACTTCGTCTCATTTTTTGCAGAGGATTCTCGCGACGGCACACGCGCAAGGGCGTTCGACAGATTTCGACATGCGCGCGCGCGACGCCCGTTTAATAGCATTTAGTGAAAATCATGAAACACCCATGGTTTTCTTAAGATTTCGCAAGAGCTCGCGCGAAAGCTTTTTTAGCAAGTCAGTGTTGCGAAACCATGTATTTTTTGCATGCTTTTGGAAACTCGATTGCGAAATCCTTCCGGCACCGAAGGTTTTTGAAGGATTTCGGCATGCGCGCGCGACGGCGCGGGCATGTGCACTTCGTCCCATTCTTTGCAAGGGATTCGCGAACAAGTGTTATGTTATAACAAAACATGTCACCGCATAGTGTTCTTTACAAGGGAACCTCAGAGGGGGGGATACTGGCCCCCCTGGGATAGTGTAGATTCATATTTCGGATGGACATGTGGTCATAATCGTATATGATTTACATATCCGAAAGGGGGCCGATAACGCCGGGGGGGGTAGATCCTATTGTGTTTATACAAGGGAGACTAGAAAGGAGAATCCATGTGATACAAATGTGGTGCAATCTATGCGATGGCGGTGGCGACGGCGGGCGGCACCGCCTGCAAAAACCGCTGCTCGCCCCCGAACGGCGGCGACGGCGACGGTGGCGACGGGCGGCACAGCCTGCAAAAGCCGCCTTTCGCCCCGAGCGGCGGCGACGGCGACGGCGACGGCGACGGCGGCGACGGGCGGCACTGCCCGCAAAAGCCGCCACTCGCCCCGACATGGTTAAGCCAAGTATGAACCCCTAAGTGCAAACACTGTTTGGGGAATCTGTATATGCATATGTATATGTCTATGTAAATGTATATACACGTAAATGTTTATGTTCATGTATGCGTATACGTACATTCACATATTTATGCACATGTATCCGTATGTGTCTTTGTGTGTCTGTATGTATGCCTGTCCGTCTGTCTGTATATCTGTATACGTATATACGCATGTATGTATGTATGCATGGATGCATGCATGTGTGTAGGCATGCATACATGCATGCGTGTATGTATGTGTTTTTTACATGCGTATAGACATACGCCATATTTGTATATGTATAAGTACATGTATGCATATATGTATGTATGTCTATCTTTGGGTATGCATGCATGCATGCATGTGTGTGTGTATGTATTTATGACTTTAGGTATACTTATCATATGTCTGTGTACCTTTATGCATGTATGTGTGTACGTAGGGGTGTATGCATGTATATATATATATATATATGTATGTATTTATACATGCATGCTTGCGTGTATGTATGCATGCATGCATGTATGCTTGTATGTTTTATGCATGCATACACTCATGCTCGCATGCATGCACGCCTGTATGCATGTGTGTGTATGTGTATGTGTATGTGTATGTGTATGTGTATGTGTATGTGTATGTGTATGTGTATGTGTATGTGTATGTGTATGTGTATGTGTATGTGTATGTATGCATGTATGCATGTATGTATGTATGTATCTATCTATGTATGTATTTATGTATGTATGTATGTATGTATGTATGTATGTATGCGTGTGTATATGTATGTATGTTTGTATGTCTATATGTTTGTATGCATGTATGTATGTATGCATGTATGCATGTATGCATGTATGCATATATATGTATATTTGTATGACTGTATTAATGCATGCGTGCTTGTATACATGATGTTTCACGTATGCATGTATGTGTGTAAGCATGCATGCATGCATGCATGCATGCATGCATGCACGTATGATGTGTTATCTAAGTTATATGCACATGCACATGCCTCGCAGGAGGGCGCTTCGTCGCGGCGTACGGCTCCGGGGCCGTCGTGGCGGCGCGGCAGGGGGGCGGCGGGGCGGGGAGGTGCGGGCGCGGACTCCGGCGAGGGCGCCCGGCCGCCCGCGTGCCTCCCCAGGAGGCCTCCTGGTCTCCCGCGTCCTCCTCCTCGTACTTCTCGTCCTCCTCCTCTTCCTCCTCGTATTTCTCGTCCTCCCCTCGTCGTCATTGTCTTCCTCCCCCTTCCTTCCTTCTCCTCCTGCTCCTCTTCCTCTTCCTCCTCCTCCTCACCTTCCTCGCGCCTCGAGCTGCGGACGGTTCTGCTGCTGCTGCTAGCGCCCTCGTGAGCCTCCTCCTGGTCACCGTCAGGTGGAGGAGTAGTAACACCTAAATGATTGAGAGAGGAGAGGGGGACGACCGACCGAACGATCGAAGAGGGGGCCTCCTTGTCTCCTCCTCCTTCTCCTCCTCCTCCTCCTACTCCTACTTCTATTCTTCTTCTCCGTCGGGGCAGTCGGCACCGACTCTTCTGCGGCTCGCTCATCCTACTCCTCCTTCTCCCTTCCCTTCGATCAGGCAGGCACATGTGAGCCCCTCCTGGAGGAGAAGAAACAACGGAATGGGCATAAGCTTCCGGAGGGGCCGCGCAGGTTTCTTGAGTCGTCGCTGGGCCCCTAGCGGCGTCCCTGGTTGACCCACTTCAGAGAACCCCCTCTTGCCTCCGAGACGGCTTCTCCAGAGTTCGACGTCTTTTTGTTTTGTTTTTCACAACTTCCACCCCCAGAGGAGTGGAACCCTCCCTGGAGCCAGCTTCTCGCCCTGGGCCGTTTTTTGACAGCCCCAGGGCCCTGCGAGGCCCCCAGGAGCCCCTCTCCAAGACGAGCGGAGGTCCCTGAGATCCTGGCATCTCCGTCTTTTCGAGTCGGGCGTTTTGGCTTCTCTCTGGGTCCCGCGGGACCCCCACGGACCGATGCGGCTCGAAACGTGACGCAGAAGATGGGGTCCACAGGGCTCCGGGCGTTTTTTGTTTTTTTTTTGTTTACGAGGCTGCAGCTTCCTCGCTGCGTCGGATCTCAGGGGTGGCGGCCCCCCTCCGCCGCCGAGGCCGGAGCGGGAGCCGGGACGGGGCGCGGGGTCGGGTGCGGGCCTCGGGCGTCGCGTCGTGAGGGGGGGGGGATCCGGGGGGGCAGCGAGGGCTGCAGAGAGTTTTTTTTTGTTTGCTGATCTGCAGGGCGAGAGGGAACCTCTTCCGCCTGAAAGCTGCGCGGGGCGCGCACAGCTTTCAATCGGCAGAGAGAGGGCGGGAGGAGGCGGGGCCTCACGCGGCCAGGGGCGGGCGAAGCCCGGGGATCAGGCGGTGCCGAACGGGACGTGCAGGCGGGCTGCAGAGAACAGGGGCCCTTGCTGGATCCTGAAGAGGCCCTTCGGGGCCCAAAAGGGGGCCTTCCCCCCCCCTCCCCATGACGGTCGGCCCGAGGTGCAAGATCGAGGTCGGCTCGGGGAGGGTACCCTGATGTTCTTCTGTGTCTGTTGGATGTTCTCGTGCATCCTGGGGGAGGGCACCCTCGAATGTTCCTCAGTTTGGCCGGCGGAGGGTTTTGTGCTCGAGTCTGCTTCTTACTCCGGGGGGCGGTAACGGGCGTCACTGGGGGGGGGGGAAGGGCTCCGGCGACGTCACGTTTCGCGCCGGCGGCGTGTGGGAATGCTTAGGAATGACCGAGGATGGGTAGGATCAGCATGTAGGTGGCGATCTGCACCACAGCGCTTGTGTACACCATAGTGCTCGCGTGTATCACAGCGCCTGTGTACACTACGTGCACTACAGCGCTTCCGTACACCATAGCAATCGCGTGCAACACAGTGCCTGTGTGCACCACAATGCCTGCGAGCACCACAGCGCTTTGTGTACACCGCAGCGCCTGCGTACACCACAGCAGCCATTTGCAACACAGCACTGCAGGCTGGGAAAGGTTTTCTCGTTACGCCGCCCCATGGTCCAATGCCGCATAACAGGAGGATTTGTGTGAGCGATGGTTGCACCATTCGGGGCATGCCCGCGCCCGAGACAGGGCAATTTGCGGATATTTTTCCTGCTATGCGCGCAGCGTGCCAAGTCGAATCAGGGGCGTTGCAAGAGCTTCGCGGAAACCAGGGCCAAACCTTGCACTTTGCAAGGACGTCTCAGGCGAAGAAGGACCCAAACCAGGCCAAACCAGGCAATTTGTGAGGGCGTCTCAGCCGACATCGGGCCCAAACCAGGCCAAACCAGGCAAATTGCAAGGACGTCTCACGTGAAACTGGGCCCAAACCAGGCAAATTGCGAGGACGTCTCAGGCGAAGAAGGACCCAAACCAGGCCAAACCAGGCAAATTGCGAGGACCTCTCAGGCAAAACCAAGCCCAAACCATGCCAAACCAGGCAAATTGTGAGGACGTCTCAAGCAAAAACCGGGCCCAAACCAGGCCAAACAAGGCAAATTGTGAGGACGTCTGAGGCAAAACCGGGCCCAAACCAAACCAAACCAAGCAAATTCCGAGGACGTCTCAGGCTAAATTGGGCTCAAATCAAGCAAAACCAGGCAAATTGTAAGGATTTCTCCAGCGAGATCTCGCCCAAACCAGGCCCAAACCAAGCAAATTCGGAGGATGTCTCAGGCGGTTTGCGGCGCCCAGCCGAGCCACACCAGGCCAAACCAGGGCCCAAACCAGGCAGATTTTGAGGACGTCCCAAGCAGAATCGCCCAAACCAGGCTCCACCCATTCTCCTTAATAAAATTCGAATTAAGAGAGTGGATCCACCCAGGCCCCCCCTCCCGGCGCGAGCCCGTTTAGAATTTTATGGGAGGGGTGTTCGGACCACATGTCTGGCGAGGCGGACGGGGTCGGGTGCCGAAGGTTTCGTTTGTCTTTCGGTTGTTCTTGGGGTGTCGTTGTGCCGTAAGGAGTTCTGTTTCCGAGTCTATAGTGTACACCACAGTGCCTGCGTGCACCACAGCGCCTGTGCACGCAACGGCGCCTGTGTGCACCACAGCAGCCGTGTGCAACATAACACCTTTGTTTTATATAGAATTTTAGGAGGAGTCCCTATGACAAAGTGGATTCCACAGGGACGTGTTTCAGGAATCCTTATATTCAAAGGAGCGCCTCTGGAAGCTGTGAGTCCTCCCAAGTCCTCCCGTATCATCCTTACTCCTCCCATCTGCGTCCAGAAGGCTTGGCCGTCCGAGAACCCAGTGAACTGATTCAATCGACCATTTTTCTGGGATTGTTTCAACACCAGCTTGTAGCGTGAATTGCACAATGAGCACATGTGCTATAGCGCCGACCCGCACGACGGGGGGTAGGGTGAGGGAGGAGGAGGGAGGAGGGAACAGAATCGCATTCAATTCTCAGCACTCCTCTTGCCTGGTGTTTAGATGTCCACAGGAGATCCTCACACCTACATGCTCTTTCTACTTGTCCTGTGCACTGTGGTGTGCATGACCTCTGTGTTGCACGCGGATGCTGTGGTGTACACAGGCGCTGTGGTGTGCACAGGCGCTGCGGTGCACGCAAGCACTGGTGTACACAGGCGTTGCGTTGCACTCGCGAGCCCTGGTGGTGTACACAGGCGCTGTGGTGCAGATCGCCACCTACATGCTGCTCCTACTGGGCTTCGGATATCCCTAGGCATTACCGGACGCCGCCGGCGCGAAACGTGACGTCGCCTGGGGGGGTGCGCCGGGGCTGGTGACGGCCGCCATGCGGAAAATACAAGACACAGGCTCTTCCTGGATGATCTTCTCCTGTCCTAGGTCCAGCTGTAAGCGACGCCCAAGGGCCGTGGCCGTGGCCGGGGCCGAGGCCGGGGGGCGTAGCCCCGCCTGCCCCCGTGTGCGCCGCCAAGCCGTGGAGGGCACCCTGGTCGTCGAGACGCTCCTTCTCGGGGACCTCGCGCTGAGGTCGAGCTAGAAAAGACGGCGCACGTCTCGAGCAGGGGATTTGTCTACAGAATTGATCATCCCCAGAGCTGACTTTCTCGTCCAGTCTGCGATCAATACGCATCAGATCTACGAGCATTCTGCACAGTTTTCAAGGCTCCGACGGAAGAAGCACTCCTGGGGTGAAGCAGTTCTGCAGGCGGTCCCCTGCTCGAGCATCAGACGCGCGCAGAAGGGGGGTCGGGGGGAGAAGGGGGAGGGCCTCTTGGAGGCGCCCCCGCTTCTTGGGAGGCGCGGGCCTTCCCTGCAGCTGCGAGGAGGCCTTCCAAGGAGCGCCTTCCCCCCTCCTCCTCCTCCTCCTCCTCCTCCTCCTCCTCCTTCTCCTCCTCCTCCCTCCCTCCTCCTCCTCCTCCTCCTCCTCCTCCTCCTCCTCCTCCTCCTCTCCTCCTCCTCCTTCCTCCTCCTCCTCCTCCTCCTCCTCCTCCTCCTCCTCCTCCTCCTCCTCCTCCTCCTCCTCCTCCTCCTCCTCCTCCTCCTCCTCCTCCATCCTCCTCCTCCTCCTCCTCCTCCTCCTCCTCCTCCTCCTCCTCCTCCTCCTCCTCCGCCTCCTCCTCCTCCTCTCCTCCTCCTCCCCCTCCTCCTCCTCCTCCCCTCTCTTCCTCCTCCTCCTCCTCCTTCCTCCTCCTCCTCCTCCTCCTCCTCCTCCTCCTCCTCCTCCTCCTCCTCCTCCTCCTCCTCCTCCCCCCTCCTCCCCCTAATTTCATCCCGTGTGGCGCGACGCCGGATGACGTGAATCAGCGGAGCTCCGCGCGGACCGCTCGGATCGGCGCTGGACCCCCTCCTGCTGGGGCGGCCATGGCATGCTCCAGAGGGACAGAGACACCCAGACACGATTCATCGTCGATCCCCAGGAAACTACGGGAACATATGGAAAGAGGGGGGGAAGACGAAGACCCCGAACATGTGGGAAACTGTGGGGACTCCTGGGACCTGTGTGTCTTTCTTTGTGTGTCCTTGGGCCCCTTTAATATACGCCTACGCCGATCCCGGGCCCAGAAGCGGTGTGTGTGTGTGTGTGTTTTGCCAGATCGCCAGAGCAGCAACCTCTTCCCAGCCGCCGACGCAAAAAGAGTGTGTGTGTGTGTGCCTCCACTGCACACGCCAGGAGGGCGAATATGCACCGATCCTATGGCCCAGGATGAGAGCCTGTCCAGTCTATCGGTGTCCTGGGATCGGCGCGGGGGGCTGCTAAGGGGCCAAGTGGCTCAGGGGGTTCACAGGGCTCATTTCGATTCCTCCGATTCGATTCGACTTCGATCGGTTCGGATTTCGATCCAATTCGACTTGGGATTCCGATTGGGGCTCCGATTTCTCGATGAAGGCCTACTAGCCTGCCGATTTCCGCCGATTCGATTTTTTCCGACTCGGCTGCCGATTTCCGTCGATCCGATTCATTTCGATCGCCGATCCGATTTATCGATTCGATTCTGGGCCACCTGGGTCCACGATCTGGGGTAAATCAGCTCCGCCCACTTAGCGGAGTTTTCTAACCCCTTCAGGCCGTTTGGGGCATTTGCAACTCAATTACACGCCAGGTTCGGCCAGATGTAACCCATCTTGGCATCCACTGATAACCCCTCCATCCCCTGAGCACCCCCGCGCCGATCCCAGCCTGACTAGAATCTCGAGGAGAATCCAGTCGTGGTTGACCTGACCTAGACATGCAGCGATGCGATATGTTCTTTTCCGTACGCGGTCCCAGAGGTCCCGACCCCTTGCCCCGGGGAAGGATGTAGGTGCCGGTGTATAGCTGGGGCCCTGGCAAGAGGAGGAGGAGGAGGAGGAGGAGGAGGAGGAGGAGGAGGAGGAGGAGGAAGGAGGAGGAGAGGAGGAGGAGGAGGAGGAGAGGAGAGAGGAGGATGAGGAGGAGGAGGAGGAGGAGGAGGAGGAAGGAGGAGAGGAGGAGGCGGAGGAGGAGGAGGAGGAGGAGAGGAGGAGGAGGAGGCGGAGGACTTGGAGCTCCGCTCGGAGCCCTCGGGTCGGCGCCGGGGCCCCCCCGGGGGCGCTTCCGGCGCCGCAGAGGCCCGGATCCCCCGGGGGCAGCTCTGCGCCGCGGAGCCGTTTCTGATTGCTGCCGGGGGTGCCCAGGCACAGGCCCTCTTGAGGGCAAGGTCGGGAGAGCAACGAGCCCAGACCCCCTCGGGTCAGGAAACAATCATGACGGGAAATAACCTCTTGGGACCCTTACCGGGCTTCGGGGCCGTCAAGAAACGACTCAGGATGAAGCTGGTCCCAGGGAATGGGTCGAGACCTCTGGGGGTCGACGTTATGAAAAAACATTACGTCGGAGGCCCAGGTTTTGAGTAGGGGATAGACGGATAGACTGCAGGACGAGGTCGGGGGAGCAACAAGCGTCGGGGCGGCCAGGAGGGGGGTGATGATTTGGGGGGGTGGATATCAGGGGCCATGATATTTCCTCAGATGTCATGGCGCCTCTTCTTCTTTCAATACGTCCCTGGCCCCCCCCCCTAGGGGGGGGGGGGCAGGGGCATGTGCGCGGCCCAGGGGGGCCCCCCTGGGCCGCGCACATGCCGCCGGCCATGATTTGCGCTCCCCCCACCCTCTTGGACGCCACCCTCTTGGCCGCCCCCGACAGCGCCGATCCTGGGCGCAGGCTTCGAGCAGGGGATAGACTCATAGACTGCAGGATTGGTTTGCCCAAATGTCTCGGCGAGTCTATGAAAAGTGCGTAGAGTGTTTGCAGATCGGCGAACAGTCTACGTATTTTTCCCGATCATCCTGTGGTGTTGGGTCCTCGTTTTGAAGAGACAGCGCCCCGCGCCTCCTTCCTCTCCTCTCCTCTCCTCTCCTCTCTCTCTCTCTCCCTCCTCTCCTCTCTCTCTCCTCTCCTCTCCTCTCCTCTCCTCTCCCTCTCCTCTCCTCTCCTCTCCCTCTCCTCCTCCTCTCCTCTCCTCTCCTCTCCTCTCCTCTCCTCTCCTCTCCTCTCCTCTCCTCTCTCTCCTCTCCTCTCCTCTCCTCTCCTCTCCTCTCCTCTCCTCTCCTCTCCTCTCCTCTCCTCTCCTCTCCTCTCCTCTCTCTCCCTCTCTCTCTCCTCTCCTCTCCTCTCCTCCTCTCCTCTCCTCTCCTCTCCTCTCCTCTCCTCTCTCTCTCCTCTCTCCTCTCCTCTCTCTCCTCTCCTCTCCTCTCCTCTCCTCTCCTCTCCTCTCCTCTCCTCTCCTCTGCTCTCCTCTCCTCTCTCCTCCTCTCCTCTCCTCTCCTCTCCTCTCCTCTCCTCTCCTCTCCTCTCCTCTCCTCTCCTCTCCTCTCCTCTCCTCTCCTCTCCTCTCTTCTCCTCCTCCCCCTCCTCCCTCCTCCCTCCTCCCTCCTCCCTCCTCCCCCTCCTTGCCTCTGCCCTCCGCATGTTTCCGTTTCGGCATGCCCAAAACAACGTTTCGTGGCCCCATAGGGAGCTCCACCGACTGCCTCAGTGGCCTCATTTCGGCGCACCCCTCACGCGGCTCGTGGCCCCACAGGGAGCTCCACCGAATGCCCCAGTGGCAGGGTTCGCAGGCAGTTCTGCCTTGTTTCGGCGCACCCCTCACACGGCTCGTGGCCCCGTAGGGAACTCCACCAAAGGCCCCAATTGCATGGTTCGCATGCAGTTCCACCCTCATCTCGGCGCATCCCTCACACGGTTCGTGGCCCCATTGGGAGCTCCACCGAAGGCCCCAGTGGCAGGGTTCGCACGCAGTTCCACCGTCATTTCGGCGCACCCCTCACACGGTTCGTGGCCCCGTAGGGAGCTCGCCCCAGTGGCAGGGTTCGCGTGCAGTTCCACTTTCATTTCGGCGCACCACTCACACGGCTCTTGGCCCCATAGCGAACTCCACCGAAGGCCTCAGTGGCATGGTTCGCATGCAGTTCCACCCTCATCTCGGCACATCTCTCACGGTTCGTGGCCCCATGGGGAGCTCCACCGAATGCCTCAGTGGCAGGGTTCGCAGGCAGTTTCATATTCATCTCGGCGCACCCCTCACACGGCTCGTGGCCCCACAGGGAGCTCCACCGAATGCCTCAGTGGCAGGGTTCGCATGCAGTCCCACCCTCATTTCGGCGCACCCCTCACACGGCTCGTGGCCCCATACGGAGCTCCACCGAAGGCCTCAGCGGCAGGGTTTGCATGCAGTTCCACCCTCATTTCGGCGTACCCCTCACGCGGTTGGTGGCCTCCACCGAAGGCCACAGTGGCAGGGTTCGAATGCAGTTCCACCCTAATCTCGGCGCACCCCTCACGGCTCGTGGCCCCATAAGGGAGCTCCATTGGAGGCCCGAGTGGCAACGTTCGCATGCAGTTCTAACCCCATTTCGGCGCACCCCTCACGCGGCTCGTGGCCCCACAGGGAGCTCCACCGAAGGCCTCGGTGGCAGGGTTCGCAGGCAGTTCCACCCTCGTTTCGGCGTACCCCTCACACGGCTCGTGGCCCCATCGGGAGCTCCACCGAAGGCCCCAGTGGCAAAATTCGCATGCGGTTCTCCGCTCTATTTCGGCACACCCCTCACACGGCTCGTGGCCCCACATAGAGCTCCACCGAAGGCCCCAGTGGCAGGGCTTGCAGGCAGTTCCACCGTCATTCCGGCGCACCCCTCACACGGCTCGTGGCCCCGCAGGGAGCTCCATCGAGGGCCCCCGTGGCAGGGTTGCGGCGTGCAATTCCACCTTCATTTCGGCGCACCCCTCACGCGGCTCGTGGCCCCATAGGGAGCTCCACCGAAGGCCACAGCGGCAGGGATCGCATGGTGGCCCCGACCCGTTGCGGCACACCCCTCACGCGGCTCGTGGCCCCAGGGTGGACTCCACCGAAGGCCCCAGTGGCAGGGTTCGCACGGCGGCCCCGCCTCATTTCGGCACACACACACACACACACCGCACGCTTCGTGGCCCCATAGGGAGCTCCGCTGTAGGTCTCAGCGGCAGGGTTTGCATGGCGGCGTCGCCTCCATTTCGGCACACCCCTCACACGCGGCCCCATA